AACTTGTTCGTCTACCTAGGGCAGTTTTAGTTTATTTCGAAACTTGTTCGTCTACCGAGGTCAGTTTTAGTTTATTTCGGAACTTGTTCGTCTACCTAGATCAGTTTTAGTTTAATTTAAAAGTTTTTGTTTATATAGATCAATTTTAGCGAGTGTTTTATTTTAGCTTTTCTTGTTGGATTGAGAAGTCATCCTTAATATACTGCTGTAGTTTTAAATTAATGAAAAGATAATAGTTTGATTTGATGATTGGTCATATCTGTGCGTTTTTAGCAAAAGTTCCAAAACTCTCAGGTATAAAAATAAACAAATATAACGTTCAACTACAATTATGTATTTTTATTCTTTTCAAAATCAAATACAAAGAAGATTGTAACAGTAAGAATGACAAGGTGGAACAGAAGTATTCCCTGAGTGGAAGTCAGATTTTTGTAAAATAAGAGAGAAGATAACAGAAATGGTCAATAAATAACAATTCATCAACATCACTGATGATATTGTCTGACTTTAGAGCATCGGACCACAACTGTATAGTTCCAGAGATGTTTCGCTTCAGTTGGCGGTGACAAGGCCTGTAGATGGTGTACTGTAGAAAAAAAAATAACAATTGAGTTTTTTTAAACAGATATTCATCTTTTTCGTAACCTCTGTGAATTTATCGTTGTAAACTAACTAATTGTTTGAGCTTTATTGAAACGTAATATTAATAACATTCTACCTACAACAACCAGTTTTCTCCGATACTGGATTGCTCTAAAAGTATTGGTACGTGAACGTTAGCTAAAGTTAACATTACTATACCTGGCTAGCGTTTTAGTGGTAGTAGCCAGGATAATATCCGTGGCCATAAAGACCAGCACCGTATCCATGGTGGCCGTAACCAGCTCCAAGATGACCGTAGGCGCCATGGCCATAACGAGCAGCAAGGTTTCTGGCACCATAGGCACCGTGTCCGTAGCGGCCGTAGGCACCGAGGTTGGCGTGGCCGTAGTTATCGTGGAGACCGTAACGAGCTCCATAGGCACCGTGAGCTCCACCACGGTTGTGGTAACCGGCCTAGTTACTGATCTAAGTAGATGAATTTGCGATTCTTCATCACGTTTAAATTGTTGAAGCATTTCTTGACCAAGTTCGACCTGATGGAAATGTAATGATTCCTCACGGGATTCGAACAATACACTCACAAGACTTTATAGTATTCGCTGACGTAATATGTGACATTTGTAATACGGAAAGAACGAAATTTGACGGAAAAACGTTCTGTGTAGCGACTATCAATTATTTTGTCCTGATTAACGCACCGAGAAACACCACTTCCTATAGAAAATAGATAATCTGGTAACACGTGGTGAAAGCGTAGAGGGGTGGCACTGTCAAACCTACCCGGAAAGTTTCAACCTTTTCTCGACACTGGTTTTTCGTTTCCAATAAAGTATAAATAGTGAAACTGAGAAAAGATTAAACCACAACTTCATTAGTATCAACATGAAGACTGTAAGTGTTTTCTTGAGCTTTGTTCTCCGTGTAATATTTTCGACATTGTCAAACATTTTGTAAGTTCAGTTGGATGTTAATAGGAAATGTATATTTGTTTTACTTTCTAACCCTACAGCTGATTCTGGTGGCTGCTCTCTTCGTCGCTGCTGTCCTCGCCGAGGATAAAGATTTGGAGAAGTCTGAGACCTACGGATATCCAGTCGGTTACGGTGCCTACGGACATGGGTACGGAGGGCACGGATATCTGGGAGCTGGCTACGGCGCCTACGGACACGGTGCTCTTGGTGCCCACTCCCGCTATGGAGCCTACGGACACGGTGCCCACGGCCTCCATGCCAACGTTGCACACCGAAATCTGAATGCCTACGGTGCCCACGGCGGCTACGGCGGACACTACAGAGATATCGGTGCCTACGCCCGTAACAAGGGAGCCGGATACACCAGAGCTTACGCCTACGACAAGCAGGATCTAAGTAGATGTATATATTTTCCTGGTTACTGATCTAAGTAGATGTATATATGGTTACTGATCTAAGTAGATGTATATATTCCTGGTTACTGCTGCCCTATGCATGTAAAGATGATCCTAGTTACACTAAAACTGACCTATGTATGTAAAGATGATCCTAGTTACACTAAAACTGACCTATGTATGTAAAGATGATCCTAGTTACACTAAAACTGACCTATGTATGTAAAGATGATCCTAATTATACTAAAACTGACCTATGCATGTAAAGATGATCCTAGTTACACTAAAACTGACCTATGTATGTAAAGATATTCCTAGTTACACTAAAACTGACCTATGTATGTAAAGATGATCCTAATTATACTAAAACTGACCTATGTATGTAAAGATATTCCTTGTTACACTAAAACTGACTTTAATAGATGTATATATTTCTGGTTACTGATCTAAGTGGATGAATATATTCCAAGTTACTGATCTAAGTCGATGTAAATATTCCTGGTTAGTTATCTAAGTAGATGTATATATTCCTGGTTACTGATCTAAGTAGATGTTAGCTAAAGGTATTCCTAGCTACACTAAAATTGGGCTAAATATGTGGAGATAATCCTAGTTATACTAAAACTGACCTATGTATGTAGAGATGATCCTAGTTATACTAAAACTGACCTATGTATGTAAAGATGATCCTAATTATACTAAAAGACGAACAAGTTCCGAAATAAACTAAAACTGATCTAGGTAGACGAACAAGTTCCGAAATAAACTAAAACTGATCTAGGTAGACGAACAAGTTCCGAAATAAACTAAAACTGATCTAGGTAGACGAACAAGTTCCGAAATAAACTAAAACTGATCTAAATTATCTAGATCAGTTTTAGTTTATTTCGGAACTTGTTCGTCTATCTAGATCAGTTTTAGTTTATTTCGGAACTTGTTCGTCTATCTAGATCAGTTTAAGTTTATTTCGGAACTTGTTCGTCTACATAGATCAGTTTTAGTTTATTTCGGAACTTGTTCGTCTACATAGATCAGTTTTAGTTTATTTCGGAACTTGTTCGTGTACTTAGATCAGTTTTAGTTTATTTCGGAACTTGTTCGTGTACTTAGATCAGTTTTAGTTTATTTCGAAACTTGTTCGTGTACTTAGATCAGTTTTAGTTTATTTCGGAACTTGTTCGTGTA